ATGAAGTGCTGCAGAATATCAATGTATGAATGTGATATATAGTTTATTTATTTTCGTTTGTAATGAAGTTGTTGGGTCTGTTGATAAAGTTGGGATCATATTTGGAACCATCTGATTATATTGTTGAGTGTAATAATTCAGGACTGCATCTGGACTATTCATACGTTTTTTGGTTTAATTTATTTTATATTTATAAAGTTAGAAATGATCCAAACTGATCAGTACAGACTTTGAGCTCCCATGGGGCCACAGGGCAGGAACATGCTGGGCCCTCCTGCAGCTCTGGGCTCTTAAAGAACATCTCAGCATCTTTTAAAATGTTTGTGTCTCCACTAAGAGTTCATTCCTGCAGTTTGAATGTTTTTCATGATGATTCCTTTTTCCATGAAAAACACCAGTACACCACCAGGGGGCAGTGATCACACAACAGAAAAATCAAACCTGTATGTTATTGTCTGAAAAATCATCTCAGACGCTGCAAATATCAAAATCATCAAAAACATGAAATAATAATCAAAGAATCACTGTGACTTTTGGAGGAATGTTTTAGATCTGCACGAAGAAGCTGCTCTGATGGCTGCTCTCCTCTCTGATCACTTCTGATTCACAATTCAACAAACGTTTTGCATTATTCAGGATCTGCCTTCGTGAGGTTCTTGGTTGAAAACCCAGCTCACGACCTCAGATGTCCTCACACTGAAAACAGAGTGGAGCTCTCTTCTTCCCCAGCAACGATAATACAGCTGCAGAGACAGATGTGGTCTCACCTCTTTCACCATAAAAGATATTTCACTTATCAACCCAACGTTACACTTTGTGAAACGACTTCAGCAAAACACAAGAACACAAACGCTGATGACAATTGAAAATGTTTAAACGTTAGTTAGTCGGGATTGTTCTCCTTCAAAATCTCTTTTGACTTTAATTTAAAAGTTACGGAGAATGAGGATCAGGATTAAGACAACAAGTGAGAGGAGGAATATTGTTTTTCCTATTTCATTTCCAGAATAAAGTCAAAATGTCCAGAATAAAGCCAAACTAAATCAGAGGAAGATTTATTGAATAAAGTTCAAATGTTTCTGACAGCTGTGTGAGCCGCCAGCTTTCTGTCCAAGTTTGTGTGGTTTCTCCTCTGAACTGTTTATTTACAGTAAGTAATAGAAAAGAAAGTATATAAAGATGGACGACATGTCTCCACTTCCTCCCGCTGTGCGATCTTGCCAGAGACAGAGTCTGCTCAGTAGCTATTGGGGGACGGAGCCGCGGAGTCGCGCTCTCGTCGAATCACGCGCTCGACCAACTGCGAGTCGGTCTCACCTGTCAGTCATGACGTTTCACCTTGTTTTTATAGCATCAAAGAAAACAAACAAGTTTTGGTTTGGTCCATGTCCCATCTGCAAACATGGAGGAGGCAGGATTTATCAACTCTACTGCAGCCAGCCACCAGGGGGCCGATTGCAACATTTTGGTCTCACTTCCATAGGGAGCTGTCGCCTCCTTTTTTCAAAAACACCTGTGTTTGGTAAAAAGGTCGGAATGTCCAGAACGAAGTCGACGTCAATCAGAGGAAGATCTTTTTTTAAAGTCAAATTAAATATTCCAACTTAATTCACAATAAGTAAAAACTTCTTCCTCTTCCTCTTCTCATCTGTGTCTGAAAACTACTGCGTCTATAAAAGTACCCCCACCCCCCAGTCCCAGTGTCACCCACTGGTTTCATTTCCCTCCGCTGTCGCTCTCCATCCTGTTTGTGCCTCCAGGCCTCCGTCCATGAATTGTGTATCTGTGTCAGTCCACAGCAGGGGGGGGGGGGGCAGTATGTGGACACGTTGGCCTCCGTGCATGAATCCAGGTGACGTCACGTCACCAGAGTTTGGTTGAAGAAGAACCTGTGTGACCTCAGACATCCATCATCATCAGACCAGAGGAGGAGACGAGCAGCTCAGCACGTCTGATGAAGAGATGAAGAAAGAGAAGAAAGTTTGGTTTCTGTTGAAAAGAAGAAGAAGAAAATAAATCAGAAGATCAGACAGATGTTAATTCAGAGTCATCACACACACACACACACACACACAGACACACACACACACACACACACACAGTTCTGCAGGACTACTGAAGACAAAAACAACACCCTCAGTCTCTATCTCCCCCATCCCTCCTTTTTTCTCCCTTCCTCTCTCTCCTACTCCCCCTGTCCTCCCTCCTCTCCCTCCTCCTCTCTCTCTCCTCCCCTCTCTCTCCCTCCTCCTCTCTCTCTCTCTCTCTCTCCTCTCTCTCCCTCCTCTCTCTCTCTCTCTCTCTCTCTCTCTCTCTCTCCTCCACAGTCCCTGCTGTCACACTTTTTCCACTTTCCTTGGCTCCACGTCAGGACCCTCCCCCGCTGGATGCGACTCGTCCCCCTCTCTCCCTCTCCCTCTCTCCCCCCCTCTCTCTCCCTCTCTCTCTCTCTCTTCGCACGCTCCTCATTGTTTTTTCACCATTTCAAGTGAAGCTGGAGTTTTTCAAACATTCTTCTTCTTCTTTTCTCTCCCTCTCTCCTCCGTCCATGGAAGTTGGTGTCACAGTGAAACACTAGAGAGAGAATCGTGGGGTTGCTGTTGGCCGGTGAGTGAAACTGCTCCTGTCTGAAATCCAGATGATTTTTCTGTGACAGTTGTGATGAAACGTGTTTTGAGTTCATAGAGAATCGACGGAGACATTCTGATGTGTGGGAAATGCGCCATAATGGAAAATAGCGTTGGTGCAGCTCAGTCCCTAAAATGGTGAAAGCTCGTTAGATCAGTCTGATGAGACTTTACAGTGAAGTCTTAAAATGTTAAAGTTAGTTTCAACATCTCAGTTACTTATTTATCTTTAATTAACCCACACTTTAAACTTCAAAAAGGGAAAAAGGGACGAGTGGCATAAGAACCAGTCTTTACAAAAAAAGTGTAAAAGTGTAAATACTGAGGAATGCATATGTAAAAATTACATAATAGATCCATCTATCTATCTATCTATCTATCTATCTATCTATCTATCTATCTATCTATCTATCTATCTATCTATCTATCTATCTATCTGTC